AGTTACAAATTGATTATTTAAAGAATTTGTAATAAAATCAAACTCTTTTTTTTTTTTTATGTTTTTTTGGCCATTTTACAGATTTTTTGCAACAACCCAATAAATCAGAGCTCAGTTACAAGAAAACTACAGCTTAGTTACAAACTGATTATTCAAACAGTTTGCAATAAAAATCTGAGTCCTTTTTTTTTTTTTGTGTTTATTTTGCGATTTTATAGATTTTTCACAACAGCCCAATAGACTAGAGCTCAGCTACAAAAAAAATAGAGCTCAGTTACAAAATGATTATTCAAACAGTTTGTAATAAAATCTAAGTTTTTTTTTTTTGTTGTTTATTTGGCGATTTTACATATTTTTCGCAACAACCCAATAAATCAGAGCTCAGTTACAAAAAAAAATAGAGGTCGATTACAAACTAATTATTCAAACAGTTTGTAATAAAATCGGAGTCCTTTTTTTTTTGTGTTTATTTGGTGATTTTACAGATTTTTTACAACGGCCCAATAGATGAGACCTCAGTTACAAAAAAATAATAGAGCTGAGTTACAAACTGATTATTCAAATGGTTTATAATAAAATCTGAGTTCTTTCTTTCTTTTCTTTCTTCTTTCTTTTTTTTTTTTTTTTTTCTTTTTTTTTTTTTTTTTTTTTGTATTTGGCTATTTTACAGATTTTTCTCAATAAAAAAATTAATCTATTTGCATGCATATGGCGAGGGAGGGATAAAAAAAAAAAAAGATTATAAAAAAATATGGGCGAAGCGTGAGAGGGAGAGTTAATGTATTTGCATATGTATTGATTTGGGAGAGAATAAACGAGGAGAAACGTAGGAGGAACAGAGAAAGACTGAGTAAATTAAAAAAAAAGAGTGCAAGATTCAAAAGGGAGAGAAATAAAATTAAAAAGGCTAAAACCATTATAAATAAGTTCGAGCCAACCGTGAAAGTAGAAAAGAAGCAAACTATTAAAGTTGGATGTACAGTAAATCAACCAGACAAGTTTATTATACGGTAATATGTTTTTTATTTTTATTTGGGATTGTATACTGTTAAGACCGTTTACTTATAAGAAGGTCATAAATACCTTAAGCCATCCGATTTCAGATTGGACAATTAAGTTGTATCATCAAATTGAAAAAAATATTTTTTTTTAAATTTTAAATTTAATCGATGATATTTTGAAGTAGTCGATGACACATTTTTAACTAACTGATTTGAATTCCAACAGAAAATAAAATAAAATAAAATAATCGTGACCAAAACAAGTGGTCTATTCGTATACTTTTCCCCCCTTTTTTTTTTTTGATTCTACACTTTTATTTAAAAAATTAAACTCTCCCAATTATGTCATTTTTTACAGTTCTCGCTCGTTCATTTTGCAGGTACTGTAAAAGCTCATCAGAGAAGAGAGAACACTGAAGAGGGAGGAGAAAGAGGCCTCTATGAGTTCTTTATATCTTTGTTTCCCATACGATTTTCTCTCTCTATGACTTCGATCATGATGAGACAATGGACCTTCTCTTTCTCGCACTAACCCAACTTACCACACCATGTTCAGAAGAAGACCATTTGTCCATCTCTTTCTCACTCGTCCATCATCACAACCATGTAATTACCAGCAAAGGTTTTCTCTTGTAAACATAAAGCTGAAATGGGTAAAAGACCCAGTTCTTGACACAGTGGTCGCCATGGAGAAGGACCTCAAAGCTGTGTGCGAGCTCAAGGACATGATTTGCAGGCACGCCGATGGCTGCTTGCCCATCTACCAACTCTCGAAGAGGCGCAGGCAAATGGGTATCGAAATTAGGGTTTCGAGGTTCATGAGAAGGTACCCCACCATCTTCCATGAATTCATTCGCCATCAAAATGGGTGCCCACTCCACTGTTTCAAGCTGACCCAAGAGGCTCGGTGCCTGCACGAGGAGGAACAGAGATGCCAAGAGGTTAGTGAGGAAGGCACAGTACAGAGGCTCTGCAAATTGCTCATGCTCACAAAGAAAAGGATTCTCCCTCTCCAAACCATTGATCAGCTGAAATGGGACATGGGTTTGTTCCGGGACTACGACCTCAGCTTAATACCCAGGTACCCCCAACTCTTCCAATTCGTTAAGCTCGAAGATGATCGAATTGGGCTCGAGCTTTCACATTGGGATTGCAGGCTCGCAGTCTCACAGTTGGAGAGGAATTGTGGCGAGAGGTGTTCCGAAGGGGATACGAGGGCTTTGGCTTTCCCTATAAAATTTACTCGGGGATTCGGTCTCAGAAAGAAATGCATGGATTGGTTGAGAGAGTGGCAGAGGCTTCCCTACACTTCGCCTTATGTTGATGCATCGCATCTCAATCCGAGAACAGATGAGTCTGAGAAGAGAATTGTTGGGGTATTCCATGAACTGCTTTACCTCACAATCGGGAGGAAGACGGAAAGGAAGAATTTGAGCAATCTGAGAAAGCCATTGGGGCTCCCTCAAAAATTCACCAAGGTTTTCGAGAGGCACCCGGGCATATTTTATATTTCTCAGAAGAGTGACACACACACTGTAATTCTCAGAGAAGCCTTTGATGCCCACCAATTAATTGAGAAGCACCCACTTGTTGGAATTAGAGAGAAGTATATAGAAATGATGAAGACTGGGTTTTTGAATAAGAGCAGAGGGTTGTATAAGAAGGAACTGAGAGATGGACATTGGTATGATCAGGGGTTAGTGGAAATGGAGGCTAATCAGGAAGAAACCATGGATGCTTTTTCTGAATGATTTGTTATCATCGGTTTCTATGATATGTTATGTAGACATGGTTACTTACGATAGCATCTGATACAAATATGAGCGATATAGGTGCTAATCCAAAAATCAGCCTTTCAAAAACAACAAACAAAAGCGATTTTCAGTAAAGGGGACGTGCGATTCTAAGGGACATTAAGAATCTATTATTAGACCTCAAGAATAAATGTTGACAATACAAGTCTAAGCCTCTTCCCCAGGGATCCCATGTGGTAACCCCAGGAGAGCCGTCGACTCCAACTATCATCCAGGGGGATGCTCATTTCTGGTTACACACGTACAGAGAGGGCCAGCGATGCACTTCACCTCTTTCGAGAATTGTCGCTTGCCGGTGAGCCTGCAATGAGCTTGTTCCAGTGAGTACACTCTCGGCATGTGCCGACTTCGTGGCACTCGATCAGGGGAAGTGGATCCACACAGACATTGCGAGTGACACGAGGATGTATGCAAAATGTTGTGAATGAAACGGTGGTGGCCGCTCTTATTGATATGTATGCAAAATGTGGGGAGATAAGAACCGCTCTTCAAGTTTTTGAGGAGAGCTCTAAGCAGATGGCCTCACCTTGGAATTCTGCCATCAGCGGACTTGCCACACATGGGTGTGCTAGTGATACACTTGACCTTTTCTCACGGATGGAAATGGCAAGTGTCCCAAGCGATATAACTTTTGTTGCTGTGCTCAATGCTTGCAGCCAGGCAGGTTTGGTGTCTGAGGGGCAAAGGTATTTTGAGTTGATGAGGAGTTAGTATGGCTTGGTACCCACAATTAAGCACTATGGTTGCATGGTGGACCTTTTATGACATGCAGCCTTCTGAAAGAGGCCAAAGAGCTCATATAAAAAATGCCCATGAAGCCCGATGCTGCTATATGGGGTGTGCTTTACTCAGTGCTTGTAGAATTCATGGCGATACAGTTTTCGCTGAACAAGTTGGAAGAGAGCTTATTGAGTGTGCTCCACTTCATACTGGTTGTCATGTTCTCTTGCCAAATATATATTCATCTTCTGGTCGATGGACAGATGCGAAAGATGTGAGGGCCTTGATCGAACACATTGGGGGTGAAGAAGATTCCAGGTTGTACATCCATAGAATTGAAGGGTACATTTGATCAATTTCTTGTTGGTGATCGATTGCATCCCCAAACTAGGGAGATATACTCGTTCCTGAATGAGATGTTGAGTAGGTTAAGGACAGCAGGTTATTTACCCGAGAGTACAGAGGTGTTGATGGACTTGGCTGAGGAAGATAACGAGACTACTCTTTCTTGGCATAGTGAGAAGTTGGCAATTGCTTTTGGGTTGATCAACACCCCACCGGGGACCCCAATTCGCATCGTGAAGAACCTTTGCTCAGAATGTCACAATGCCACAAAGTTCATTTCCAAGGTGTATGAACGAGAAATAGTTGTGAGGGATCGTGCTAGATTTCATCATTTCAAGGATGGATCTTGCTCTTGTAAGGACTATTGGTAGCAAATGAAAGAATCAGTGGAAACTTCAGCAAAATGGTGCATTGGGCACACTTTCATCTACCTACTTACTAGCTTATTTGAGATTTATACAATTCCATATACAGGGAGGAATGTGGATAACCCTGTCAAGACCACACAGATTAAGTAATGCTCTACTGGAGCTGTAGCATACAGAGCCAAACAGCAGGGGACATGCTCAGTTTTTTTTTTAGTTTTTGATGGATTTCCACATTGAGTTGAAGTCCTGGATCCCTCCCTTTGAAAAGCACCATGCCTTTAAGAATATCATCATCGTTCGAGCCTTATCACAACTATTTGGGGTAAGCTAAATGAATTCCCTTCTGCCATTCTGCTCTGTCTAAGGGCCATATCCTGAATCAGTCAATGTCTATGTCACCATATCTTCTCCTACTACTTCCATTAATTTCCTTTAAGAATATTTAGAACCAAATAGATTCAGAGTAATATCAGTCCAAATTATCATGCTAAAGCTTTTTGTATATAACGTTTCAATTTCAGCTTTCTATTGATTCCCAACATTTTAATGAAATGAAAGGAAAAAATCTTTAAATTGGCTTGGGTCTCATTTGTTGAGATATTTCCTATCCTACGATGCCTTTACCTTTTATTGAACTAAATGAACTAATTTTGCAAAGATTTATTTGTTAATTGATTGTGACGGAGCGGACTGCTGAGATTATCCTTTCATTTTATTTCTTTTGGTGGCTCATAAGAGTGAAAAGGTGTAACATCTGTTTTCTGCAAGTAAATTGAGTCCAAACCATTTCTGTGCAATCTGAATAAGAAGCACCATCTGTGTGCAAATTTTGGCTGCTGGAGAAGCTCTTCCCCCTGCCTTAGATAATGGTCACTGTACGCTGCAGTCAATCACTATATGAGCAACTGATATCTTGCGACATGATAAATTATTGAAACCTGAAAATAATTTGTTTGCTATATTTAGAGCATATGTATATTAGTTAGTTTCAAGGGAAAAATAGTTGAGGAGCTTAAATTCTGTTGGGTGTGAAGGAATCATGTGCTGGAAATTGTACACTGTTTTAAGTAACCATCACATGGCTGGTAGTTGTGCACTGTTTCTTGGTAGTTCTCCTTTCTTTTGGTTGAAAGTAGGATATTGGTTGAAAGTAGGATAATCTCTCAGTTTTTTTTGTAGAACTTGAGCATTTGTGCTTCTCTTTTCTACTGGTACTTCTCTTATCAGCTGCCTGCACTTCTGTCGAAGTTAAGTGGTTATTTTCTTGCATCTACATATCTATACAAGTTGACAATCTTACAGCTATTTGAATTGCTCCTAATCTTGTCATTTATGATAGGATAGGTGATTGTCACTTCTCTAACAAAATTTCTTTGCTGGTCTTATCTCCTCACCTGATATCCTGTGCGCAGGAACGAACTGATTTGTTCACTAAGGCCATGCCTTGAGATAATTGTCATTGTTATTTTTCAATTAACATTTCATTGAAGAGTTATCTTTCATTGTTCGAGTAACAATCTCTCCCATTGGATTTACATTTCATTGAAGAGTTATCTTTCATTGTTCGAGTAACAATCTCTCCCATTGGATTTACATTTCATTGAAGAGTTATCTTTCATTGTTCGAGTAACAATCTCTCCCATTGGATTTACATTTCATTGAAGAGTTATCTTTCATTGTTCGAGTAACAAGCTCCCCTGTTGGATTTCTGTCACAGTACCATCCAACAAACTATTGACATGTTGTTACAATGTGTATGTATGTATGCAACAAATGTTTCTCTATGACTTTTTAGAATGGCTCTCTGTCTGTAATTCTGTATACTTTGCAGTAGGCTTCTTTTGTTGATCTATTTTAAGCACATTTTAGTACTTCTATCCCGAATTATTTGTGTATAATCACAACACTGAAGTTGCATGATTTGGTATTATTCATTTTTGCAACTCTCTTGCTGATTGACTCTCAACCAGTTTCTTTCATTTGTTTGAGCTTCCGGATGATATTCAATTGCCTATGAAACCTGCGTTTCCAGATCACCAATTTAGCCTACTTCAGTTCAATTTTTTTTTCTTATACCCAGTTTGTAAATAACAGAAGAGGTTCACATTTGTACGCGAGTGTAGGCTCAATGCTCAAATTTGGACATTGGTGGGGCCTCTTTTAGTGATAAGCTCAATAGCATTTTGTAATCTACTGGATGGGAGAATTTTTTAATCTACTGGATGGGAGCATTTTGGAATCTACTGGATGGGAGCAGTTAACTTATCATCACTACTCTTACATTTGAGGTTGCTTGACAACTATGCCTTTTGCGAGTAACTTTCTATGGATTTGAGTTTTGTGGAAAAAAGAACTGTTTTCTGTATGCCGATGTTCAATGTTGTTTGGGTTTGGAATGGTGCAAAGGGTCTTGAAAAGTTGGTATCCTGTACTGTGGTTGAGCTGGACGAGCGAGCTCAGGACGGATCTCTCTTGCTTGATTACCAGTCAATTGCAGAAAACCGGTATGCTACTATGGCATCTGGAGTGTTAGTGATGTAACATAAATGTATAATTTTTATTTTTAGGGATTCACTCATGAATATGCACTTTTGTACCTGTATTGACAAGGGATCTGAAATTTTTTTCCAATTAACATAGTTCAAAGAAAGTACTTGTGGTTCTGACATGCACATTTTCACTTTTCGCGTCCTTTATTTTGATATTTTGCTTCATAGGTATGGTAGATTGGGAATTCAACTGTTAAAAATCGGAATACTTTTCAGGATTGGATATATGTTTTGCTTTTCTTATCTCTTTTCATTCCATTCTTGAGTGTTAAAAATCGGAATACTTTTCAGGATTGGATATATGTTTTGCTTTTCTTATCTCTTTTCATTTCCATTCTTGATGGTCAGCTATGTTATTTTTACCTGTGACTACTTTCTCTGTTGCTAGACAATTGAACAATGATGCTCTACAATTTCAAATTTTCTTCTTTTTTTTTCTTTTTCAATTTCTTCCAACATGTTTCACTGTCTACATTGTGATTTTTTGATTGAGGACTAGCATAGAGTCGTCGTCATTTTGAGCGCTTTAGACATTCCTAGAGTTGTCTGCAGGTAACTTCCTTTGTATGGAGTATTTAGCAAACCACTGGGCTTCTTAATCTGATCCCATTTTTCGGTTCAACAGTGCTGACTAGTCACTTATGGACCTCTGTCCTGAATATGGATCTTATTGTAAGGATGTTGGGGTAAGAACAGTTATATTGAAGTGTGCACTATTCCCTCTTTGTTAAAATGTAGTATTTAATGCACCACTGGGCTTCATAATGGCTTACATTTTTTGGCTATGCAGCACTGTCTGGTGTAATAAATGGGCTTATGTACTGAATATAGCTCTTGAAGTTAGGGTTTTGGATCGTGCATAGTACGAGCAGTTTAGTTTAAGTGTGTTAAGTAATCTATTTGAAAATGGGGTTCTTTTTCTGAAATTTGCCTGGTCTGTTGTGAACAGACCTCTCGAGCTTGCTAAAAAACCATTTTAGTTTGACACTTTTGTCTGGATGGTAGATTTCCTTTTATTAAATTTCGCCGTGTTT